TTCATAATTGAGGATATAGTAAGCATACCATGTCCTCAATTAGGTACAAACACTCAGCGATCACTGATCACTGACTGCTTGTACCTGCTCTCCTCTCTGACATGCTGTCAGAGGAGGCTGAGCGAGCGGTGTAGGGAGGAGAGCCCAGCCTCCTGTGACAGCGCGGGCTATCTCCCCCCACACACCGCTCTGCCGGACTGTGATAGGAGGCTGAGCGGTGTGGGAGGAAAGACGCCGGTCGCTCACAGCGCTCTCCTCTCACAGCGCTCGGCCGGCTGTCACACTTTGTCTCCTCCCCGCTGGGATACAGAGCAGCGCCCAGCGGGGAGGAAAGAAAGCAGATATGCACCAATGTATAGGCAGGAAAATTGCACTTTTGGCATTTAGCCAAAAGTGCCATTTTCGGCCGATATATCGGTGCATCCCTAATATATATAATACATAAATACACATATTTAATGACATCTCTGTAACATTACAGTCTGTCTTATAGCAAGTTGATCTCTCTGATAACACAGCACTCTCTCTGGTGACATAGCAATACAAATATAGTTGCTCCATTATGACCCTCTACCCCTGATAACTCTTTACAGTCTCTTTAATATAACAGTCTTTCTGATAATATGTTGGTCTTTGGCATAAAGTGCAATTTTGGAAAAAGATTTAGGGTGTCTGCCACTGCAGGCTTCTTTTAAAAATGCTTGTTTCCAAACTTTCTGTCCTTGATATTTTTGAGTCACAGAATCTGAACAAGCATGCTGTAAATGAGCATCAGAATAGTGTCAGATTTCCTTATCTAGTTAAGCTGGCCATACACTGTTCCATTTCTTTTGTTCAACCTGCAGGCTGAACAAAAAAAATAAAACAAATTTGTCCATCAACTTTTGCGAGCCACCATCAGAATACCCGAACAGAGCTCATTGACAGTTGATCGAGGGATGCCGGCCGAAAGGGTGCTAACCTAAATTTCATCTGGTTCCCGAAGAACCTATCGAAACTTACATATTGTGTGGTCATTTACTCTTTCTATGTCTGGGGTTGAAAACGCTGAAGCCAAATGTGATGGTTAGCAATGGCAGCCTACTTAAGTCTCTTGTGAAAGGTCTGCTTGATTGATGGAACCATTATCATTGTGATCCAAGAACCAAAGAAGGGTATTTCGTAGGCTTTCTCCAGTATTACTGCAGTCTGTGTGATAACCCGACAGTCCTTTATTAATTTGGCAACATTATTTTGTAATATATAATATGACTGTTTACTATGACCATATGTTCTTAACCAGTTGCAAACGCAACAGTTTACACTGACATTTTTTCCCCAAGCTGTGAATAGTTCATAGACCTTTGTGAAGAGCCACAACCCTTTTAGAGTGAAACCCCATTGCAAACAAACCGTGTCCATTATTAGTAGCCATAGTGCACTGTGATAACAGCTTTAAATATTATTTTTTTCTAAATCAGATCCAAATATAGGCATGTCTGTCGCATTGAAGGAGAATTGCACCACATTTTTCTATATAAAGCACATTCTGGAAGAATATTCTTGGACTCTCTGAACTCCGGTATTATGTGTTGACACATTACATGCAGCACACCTCATTATTTCTCTATATTTTTACACTGCTACTTGTTTCACTGTGTCTGTTAGAAGGTCTGGCAAAACACATCCATTTGATCACTCTGTTCCCCACTGAGACCACTCTCGCCATATCTATTCCTTGAAAGTCAAACACATCTCCTAAATTATTAAAGGAGTAAAGCTTTAATGTCTGCCACAGCACCCCTGAGGACTGTAAGCAAAAAGTTTATACAGTTGTTCTTGGTGATTTTTTTCATCATTCTTTTTTTAAACATTAGGAGGAGGAAATATTGATCTGCAGAGGTGGGTAAGCAAGCTGTGCGGCAGTGAAAGAAGGATTATTTTTGCAATTCGCTCAGAAAATAAATAGATGTAGTTCATTTAATATGATGGAAGCACTATGGGTGTAAAGTTCCATGTCACTAAGCAGGAACATCTTAGACAGCTTACATAAGTTTTAAGAAATTAATATGTATGTCAAGGAAAAACTTATTTTAGAAAGTTTTAGATAATGTGGGGGAAAGATTAGACCCTCTGTCAAGTTTTTACACTGGTGAGAATCACACTTGCTTGTCCTGGTGACCACTGCCACTGAGATGATGAGTGAGAATCCAACATTTTTACCAGAGCCAAGGATGAGAGTAAATCATGTAATGGGGACACCTCTTCCAGTGACAACTGTCTAAGATTAACAATGCTGTCGAGATCCACCAAGCTGCGTGAGTGACAGCTGGCTCTGCCTATCTAGAGGCAGAGCCAACTGTACCCGCCCCCTCCCCATCCGTTCCTCCAGTCAGCGCTGGAGGATCGTAGTGGGGGGGGAGGGAATCCCTGCAGGAAGCTGTGACTGACGGTCACCGCTCTCTGCAGGGAGATGATCGACAAGTGAGCGAGCGACGGTATGTGTTCGCTCACTTCCAGAACTATTGAGCCGATGTTTGACAGTTTCATTGTCACACGTCAGCTCGAACTATGAGGATGAGTGATTTTCACTCCCCTCATAGTTCTCCTTTAAGTAATCAGTCATCAGTTGGATTTTCCATCATGCAGGACAGTCTTTGTGTGGGTTGCTTTCCAGTTATCATTTGCCTTATTAAAGGCTTCTAGTTGTGTACTCCAACTGATTCTTCAATTGCTGCTGAGTTTGAAGTATCAGAAATAAGGATTAGCACTTCTAAATCAGAGGCATTATATGCTAATGTGGACCGCATACCACACTGATGTATGTCCAGTGCTGTAACGCCAGTCCTTCGGGCACACTGGGACGGAAAATCCAATTATAAATCCAAAAGTGCAATGGTACAAAGGAACTCATAAAAAGGAGACTAATGAAATTTAATAAAAGCTTGGATAGTTTCTGAAGTCCCTTGTGCCACTTTTGGATTTATAATTAAATCCGAGGCCATGGTACACTCTCAGAAAAGAGTGTTACCATAGTCATATAGAGATCATTATCTGCTGTGAAAAAGTGTAGATAAAACTAGGGACTTTGTCAACTGTTACAGTTTTGAGGACAGTTTGCCAAGGAGTGTTTGTCTTAGCAGTCGTCCACATGCCTATGCTCATCTGATGTTATGAGCTATAAGTTATTACTCAACAAAGAGTAGATCCCCTGCTTCTCCGAATCGAGAAGAACTAGTTTATTCCAGGCACATGCAATTAGAGTTATAGTCTTACCTCCACTTTCCTGGTACAGGAGCTGTAGAGGGTGTCTACATAAGACTGTGCAGTCCAAGAATTAAACCCAGTAACATAACAGAGCTGGAGGGACATGCCAACTGCGTTCCTTAGCGCTACAAGTCTGTGTGAGGACAGTTGTGCAGAGAGGGGTAGCTGTTACTCAGCTATGCTATCACAGAGCACTGGAGGGCAAGCAGCATATTTACTGAGAGAAAAGGATATTTTACAAAGAAATTAGACTTCAGTTGGGCATTCAAGTTGTGAGAAGGCCTTACAATTTTGTAATAGCATTATTAGTGGGCTAAGTCAGTCACTGATTTCTTATCTCTTGTAGTTCCAGCCACTGGGCTGCTGTTCCTCTCCAGAGGAATTCAACATGGAGAATAGGAATCACTTGTAGTTGCTGCAACAGGTGTGCAGGTCTGGGAACTCCGCTATGAAGATTTCCCTGAACAACACAAGAAAACCCTTCAGTCAATACATATATCAGTGTCACAGAGTTCTGTAGACCCTCTGTGTTGCAAGGGCAGATGTTAAAGCAGTGTAAGTTCTCTTAAAAAGAGTCACATTTGAAAGTAGAAGAGTCAATAGGCTGATGGCTAGGTCATGGGAAAGAGTCCAATTTCAAGACAGACAGGCAGAGCTCAGACTGCCATCCCTCCCAACTGTCCCCTGATTTGAAACCAAATCCCTTTGTCCCTCTTTCATCTTCAGTTCATCCTCTTTTTGGTCTGGTGTACAGATATCAATAAAAAGGTACTAGTTAGCTACCAAAAGTGTTATTCCGCACTAAAACATTTATCTCATCTCAAATGTCTTGTTTGTTATTTCAAAAAGCCAGTATAAAGGAAAAGAAATGGTGTAAAACAATTTAACCAATTGTTTTTTGGTATGTAGATTCTTAATGATTCACAAGTGGAATACACACAGTCCAAACAGTTCATACGACATTCAAGGCAAGGACAGTCAGACAGAAGTCAGAGGCAGAGAAATCTATCCATGGCATTAGCAAACCCATGTATCATGGCCCTAGGTGGACATTTTAAATTCCCTTTAGAGGTATTGAACAAGGGTCAGGTGTGCACAGAAGAAATCAGAGCTACAGTGACAACCAGCAGGTGGTGAAGGTTCATGTCTAAGTATTACATTCAGCATCTACTAAAGCAAAGAGAAAAATATAATTTGTTGGTTGATGGGCCTGTTAATGCAAATGGTCCTCTATTTCTTCCAGTGGATCCCAGTTGTCATGTTTAGTGATGGGCTCAGGCGTGTTCGCAGCACCACGTGCCTAGCCTGCCAGCAAGCTGACAGCGCCGCAGCGCTAATCACAGGCACGGAGACATTTCCAGATCTCTGCAACTGCGGACCGGGATAATGTCTCAGTACCTGTGATTGGCGCTGTCAGCTTCCGGGCGGGCTCGGCACGTGGAGCTGACAACATGCCCAAGCCCATCACTAGTCATGTTGGCCACATTGGTGTGCAGATATACAATGGATGTATTTTTTTCCATTTGTGTTTAGCTTTGAGAGGCTTCTGCAAACACTGAAAGAATGTACCGAAGCTCCTTTACTGGTACAGTTTAGAAGACTCAACTAATGTCACAGTGCTTCAACTACTAGAGTTCTAGTAAAAATAATTAAAAAACAGATGGTGGCATGATTTCTGCTTTGAGAAGGTGAAAATGAAGTATTGATTTGTAGTCACTTATCTGTGATCTAAAGCATCTGTTTTTCTCTTTCAGAGCATCTGAAAAAGCGTCTGGAAAAATACATGGTGAATTTCCCAAAAGTAAGAATAGTCCGCACCAAGAAGAGAGAAGGTTTAATTCGAACTCGCATGCTGGGAGCCTCTCTGGCTATTGGAGAGGTCATCACTTTCCTCGACTCACACTGTGAAACCAATGTAAACTGGCTTCCACCTCTGCTTGGTAAGAATACCAAATATATTCCAGAGCAAATATACCCTGATGTTTAACACGCAATGTTTTCCCCACCCGCCCCCACCATGCCTACCCTATTCCCATGTCAATAAATGCCTAAGCATTTAGTCATGGGATCTCTGCTAAACAGTGTAAAGCATAATTACTGTGCTAAACTACTAAGCAAAAAGTATAGCATGTGTATATAACATGCAAATATAACTTCTCACATATACATATAACTAAGGTATGAATGCATCCAGTTTAATTTCCTACTTTCTATCTAATCAGCTGGTACTTTTTCTTGTCGCTAGCAATTGCTTACTTCAGCTCAGATTATACTTGTTGACTAATCACACATTTCCCATTTTGCTAATTGCGTGGCTTCTTCAGGGGATATAACTCTATTGAGGTGTTTTAGATGTGATATTTGTGGCAGTCAGCTATGAAGGGTGCTCCCAATGTACGATGCTGACTATTTGTAACTGAGCCCTGGTTCACACCTAGGCGTTTTTGAGCAGTTCGGAAGGCGCTTTTAACTGCCCAACACAAGAAATCCCATGATTTTTAATGACCCTGGTTCACACCTGAGCAGAAAAACGCATAGCAGGAAAACGCCAGACGCCTGAAAAGATACAGGAGCTTCTTTGGGCAGTTAAAAGCGCTTTTCCTCCCCATAGACTTAATTTGAAATGGCCAAAAACGCGCAACAGAAGCATGTTGCACATTTTCGTGAGCATTTTTGCGCTTTTATATGCGCGTTCTTCCTTTGCCAACCATGGTTTATGAGCTGCCAATCAAAACGCGGGTCTTCATGTTCGCACGTTAAAAAGTGCATACAAATGTGCAGAACGCGCATGCAAATAACCGCATGCTGCTAACGCGCGTACAAACGCGCAAAAACTGTGCCGCCTATGTGTGAACCACGGCTAAAGTGTATCTTTAGCCCTGAACACATTTAATATATTGCAGCTTACCAAATCCTAAATCTTAGATTTCCTTTTTCAGGCTCTTTATTTTTATCTGGGGATCCGGCCAGTAACACACTTCCTCTCTTGGGGTGGCTCCACTCTAAGCAGGAGCAACGGAGACGCTCTCGCACACCAAGATTGTTAACCTGTGGAGACGATAATGTTAGATGCGCTAGCAGATTTTGAAGGAAGTTACGGAAACAGTTTTTTGGTTTTCCTGTTAGGATAAAGGTCTACTTAAATGAATACAAGCTAACCATTGTAAGCACCCCTGTCAGTGTTAAAGGGTTTGGCTCTGTTCACACCTAGGCGTACCGAATATGCGCGTTTGTCGGTAAAAAACGCGCGACAAACACACGTTTCCGAAGGGCTACTTGGCTGTATCCCAATGGAAACGCGCTACAAAAACGCCGCAAAGAAGCTCATGTACCTTTTTAGGCGTAGACCGTTTTGTAGCACGTTCAGACGGGCTGAAATACGGCAAGGTGTGAACCATACCCATAGAAAACAATGGGATTTTTATGTTTGAGCGTTTTGTAGAGTGTTCGTAGAGCGTTGAACGTGCTACAAAACATACAGGTGTGAACCAGGCCTTTGTCTCAACCCTCTATCTGCCACTTTTGCTGGACAGTTTGGTCTCTTACAGGAAGTAGAAAAATAACAAACTTATTGGACAGATCACTGGGTGAAAATAAATGAGATAAATAAAACAAATGCATCCACCACATCTAAGAACTGCTAAGCCACAATATATATATTTTTTGTTTTTGTTTTAGGGTTTAAATAAGCTTTAAGTCCTGCCCATTTGGATCAGTTGTATGGCTTCACATACGCCCCAGAGCATTGCTCATGTGGGGGAACATCATGCTCACCACCCTATGCCATACCCACTTGCTATCAGATTACCATTGCAGCTTAAACCAGTGTATCAGATGTACAAAACAGAAATAAATAGAGCTATGAGCTGATAAAGATGACAGGAAAAAGTACCAGGAGATTAGAGGTTTTACCAACAACCCTCCTCCACTGCCTGCATGTTGTTACATTGCTCAGAAGGGGGACAACAGTGCAATGATTTCACTGCAGGAGAATCTGTGTTGACACCCTGTTGAACGAAGTTCAGTAACAGAGGTCTCCTCCCCACCTCCACCCTGTGTACAGTAAAAAGAGAAGCCGTATAGTGATAAGCTCATCTCACTATGCTTTCCTTCTATCAGCATGATCCTTGCATTGCAGCACTCCTGATTGGCTGCTTGTGCTTCTTCTCCCTCCCAAGTCTGAGCTCTGCTGTGCATCAAATTTAGGAGTTTGCATTTAAAAAACATGATGTATTAATGAATACAGAGCTGCATTCATTTTTGTCTTTCTTATTTGCCTGAAGTTCAAGTACCGTATTTTTCGCTCCATAAGACGCACTTTTTCCCCCCCAAAAGGCGGGGGGAAATGTGTGTGCGTCTTATGGAGCGAATCCCTATCACCCGACGCCCGAGACATGCAGTTTCTGGCGACGGGCGTAGTTTTTTGTACATTTAGCCCTGCTAAAGCAGAGCTAAATGTACAGTAGGGGCCACTGCTCGTTTAATCCAGGTGATCTAATCAGATCACTTGTATTAAAACCGAGCAGCGGCGGCGATCGACATCACCATAGAGCCCCTAGAGCAGACGAAGAACGGACGTTCTTCGTCTGCTCTGTGTGATCGCTGAGACCGTGGCGCTGTAATCAAAGCGCCACCTGTCTCAGCGGTCACTAACTGCAGCTTTTGTCACAGAAACTGTGACAGAAACTCCGGTCTGTTCAGTGCTCCATAAGGCGCACCGGACCTGCCTGCGTCCTATGGTCCGGTGCGCAAAATACGGTATTTCAAGTATTTTCTTATTGCATACGTGCCTGTATTAAGCTGGTGTTTTTCATTTGTGCTTACACTCACACGTTACAATATTATTATTATTATTTAAATACAGAATTTATATAGAGCCAACAGTTTGCGCAACGCTTTACAATATAAACAGTAATAATGCAAAATATGTGCTCGTTGAAAATGCTTTATGGCTTTCCTTTAACACTGGCATGCTTTACACAGATTTCCTTACTCTGTGGCCAGTTACAGAGTACTCATTGTCCATCTCTGGAGTATGGTCAATGTGAGGATGAACAGCAGAGAGCTGGCATTTGTCACTTCCTTGCTTTTTATGGCTGAGTGTCTGACCTAAATCCTGTGCTACAAGGGAGATCATGTACAAACAACTCACTGCATTTTTTCCAGCACTTACTGTGATTACAGTTTTGGACTTGTTTAAAAATGAATTGTCTCTTCTCTTGCAGACCGTATAGCTCAGAACCACAAGACGATTGTATGTCCCATGATTGATGTCATCGACCACGACCACTTTGGATATGAGACACAAGCGGGAGATGCCATGCGGGGGGCCTTTGACTGGGAGATGTTTTACAAGAGAATCCCAATCCCTCCTGAGATACAAAACCCTGATCCCAGTGAGCCTTTTGAGTGAGTTTTTTTTTATACATATATACACACCATAATACATAAGTATACATCTATTTCTTTTATGGTACTGCATGTGCAGGCAGTAGATATAGATATGCGAAAACAAACAAAAAGTTACCAAATAGGTAAAAACGTACCTCTGTCTCCGCCGTTCGCTCTCATCTGAAGATTCTCGAGTGGCCGAGAAGGATCATGGGGTAGAGATCTTCGGCTGGGAGAAGAGGAAAGACACTGTGTAAGTCAATGCACACATCTGGCAGTGTGCACACAGACAGACACCGGTGGACATAGAAGTGACCGGCACCAGCGCTGGAGGGACTCCTGAAAACTCCTGGAAAGAAGAAGATGATCGAATCAATTGGCATCATTTAAAGTAAGTCCTTAAAGCAGCAAGTGGGGGGTTGAATGTGATTTTATTGTCACTTTCATACACAGGGTGATGTTTGAGAAGATTTATTAAATATGCTTAGTTAAAATGAACATAAGTGAATGAAAAACAGGAAAGTGTTTTGCTATTTAGGTGACTCGTGCTAGTTGATTTTTTGTTTCTGATTGCTTTAGATTTGAATGTTAGCTAAATTATTTTTGGCTGTAATTGGCATATTTGCTAAACAATCGTTTTGCAGTATCCCATACCAGTACACCATTAGTGTGCTTTCTCTGCTTATAGCCCAACCTCATCTCAAAAGAAGAAAAGAAAAGCTTACACTGCAATATATACTTCTCCCTGGAGCTGTCCCCTGCAGACAGTCCTCTCTGACCTCTTGCTTCTGCTCCTCTTCTGGGTTAAGGGCAGGTTCACACCATTTTCTGGACTAGATCTGGACCAGATCTGGAACCCAGTGCATTGCTTTTTGCCACCTTTTTACTGCGATTTTGCTGCATTCAGGAGGTTTATGGGGGGTTTTTTTTATCTTACAGGTGCGTTCCAGTATGCATTTTTTCAGTGCATTCCAGACCAGACAAAATAAGACAAGCGGTATTTGTCTGGTCTGGTCTGGAACGGACTACGCTGCTGTGAACAGAGGCCTGGATGTGGTGTGAATGGGCCCTAAATTATGTCCAGTATCATTCAACCCACTTCCTTTGAGCCCAGACAGTCATGCATTTTTGAGTTGGTGATTGTCTGGGCTTAACGGAGAATTCTGCAGAAAACAGTGCTTACACACAACATTCTGTGTCTTATTGAGGACCATTGAAGCTAGAGAATTAGTAAAGGGACCCTACTTGTCACATAGTTGGGCTTTGACAGACCATAGTAAAGTAACATTTGATGCTTTTAGGAGTTGCTATTCTTTGCACTGCCTTAGCAAATAAGACCGGTGGTGTGGATTGGGTTGTTTTAAAATGTAACTTCTGCTCAGAAAATGAAAAAAAAAAAGTCTCCTTTTGGTGAGTTTCCTACATTGCAAGGGTTTTCAGCAAACTTTTACTGAGTCTTACCTGCGGCAGTTTAAATTGAAACTCACTTGCACTAACCTCCTGCTATAGTCACATGATCAGTCTCAGTGTTATAACATTCTCAACACTGTGTGGAACAGCAGTAAGACAATTT